GACCCATTGGCTGGATTTGTAACTGATTTAAATTTTTATCTCATTTTACAATAATGTAGAAGATGAATATTTCTTACTTATTTCTCATTTATATAAATATTTATATTATTTATATAAACTTAGACTCTATAATTTGTTATATTCTCTTCTATTATAATTATTGAATTTTTTTTTTCGAGCTACTTATAATTATTGATGGACTTAACTTTATTGCTAAAGATTATAATAAAATATCTACTCAAGAATACTTCGATTGTAAGTACTGTTTTGTTCGAGATAATTTTTTACTCAATTTTTATTTTTATTCTTTGATTGCTTTTCCGATTTCTTGAACTCTATATAATTGAAGGTTTGTTGTCGAGTTTATATTGTCTTTTTTATTGATATTACCATCTGAGCAATTTATGCCAGTATCAATATAGATAATCGTTAGATACTGTCAAAATTATTACTCGGAGTATCTAATTAACCGAAGACTGTTTCATCCTTTTTCAAATTTCATTTCTCGGCACGATTGAGATTATATTTTTATTATATATTATATATTAATATATAATAGATTATTATAGATTAATATATATTTCATTAAATATATAGATAATATTATATATTATATCATAATAAAGGACAATAAGAAATTATGGATACATGAATATTCTCCTGCTATTTTCAAACATAGTTTATTATTAATATATCAGATCGATACGATATAATTAAAAAAAAAAATAATAATAATAACATATAATAAATATAATAATTTTAATTACTTGTGCATCAAATATAAGTGTATTAAGACACTCAAATCCCCATGTTCTATTGGCAATTTTAAATGATTATTTTAATTAATTATTATTTTATTCATAAAAATAAAGGAAAAATATCTTTTGATTAATTAAATAAATTATTTTATACCTTTCGTGCAAGCTCTATTAAAAAAAAAATATATATATATATATATATATTATATTTCCCAGCTCCTTTACTAGTGAAAAAAGGTGGTTTTGTATCTTGTTAATTAATTTACTATCCTAAGCAATTATATAATTTTAGCTTTCGAGAGTAAATATTTTTATACTAAAGTTTTTTATATACTAGTAATTGAAGAAATTCAACTACTTTTCAACTTTATAGTTAATATGTTTCTGCACTATGAGTTCCAATTTAATTATATACTTCGTATAAATTTATAATTTCAAATGACAAAGAAATCATAGATATCATTTTTAAATTATATATATATATCTTTAAATTTACTCTATTTCAATGAAGCAAGGATCGTTTTATACAGAAGTTATTACAAATGATAATAGAGCTCGTAATAAAGTATTGACGTGTATTGTTGAACAAATAAACAGAGGAACATTTTCCATACCTAACATTGCAACGAAATAAAAATAAAAGATTCTAAGCCTTCCGAGACTTTCCCGCTTTTATGGTAGAATGCTGTAATCGTTAAAGTAACGTTCGTATCACAAAGCTTGGGCCATGTGGTGAACTAATACCTTTACTATGTTTTGCTTGTTCTTCAAGTTTATAGCCTTAGTCTTTAATTCATTGAAAAGAAACTGATATTTTTCTTTCCTAAACATTACTTATGATAATAAATACAAAATAGTGTTATTTATATTTATATATTGTATGTCATATATCTGCTTTCATAATTTTAAACTTGTTAGTAAATCGTAAAATTTGTAGGGCAAGTAGGTATAGTCTTGTTAGCTTTGCGTTACATTATATAATTATTCCAAGTATTCAAAATAAAAAAAAAGTGTATTGTATATTTTCTTTTCTTTATAATTAGGTTTGGAGAAATTTATCTTCGAGAAAACAATTATTACCGATTGCTAATATTACGATAAAGATATTTTTTTTATCTAAACACAATTATTATTCATAACTAAATTGTTTAGTTTAGTATCGCATTATTAATAATAAATGTAAAATCTGAAACAATGAAGTAAGATTTATAACTTTGCTATAATTGGATATAATTCACAAAATTAACTCGTAGAAAATTGTTTTTTTTTTTTTTTTTTTGCAAACAATTGACTTTATTAGAGATTATTAAATTAATGAGTTTTATAAATTATGAAATATCTCATATTAAATTACATTAGATCTATTAATCCATTTAGTTGAAATTTCGCTCTATTTGAGCTATCGTTTTGGTCTGGTTCATAAATATATATTTCAACATTCATTTCCACATACAATACCTGTTGCTTTAAGCTTTATAGAAGTTGATGATTTGTTAGCATTTATCGAGATAACTATTTTCAATTAGTATATATTTTTTTTATTCTTAGGATTTTAAATGATAATATTTCCACATATTATTTATACTTTGATTACTATTAATATCAAATGAAAATAAATGCTTAGTTCGAAGCTCTAGAATTGCATAAATTAATATGTTGGGGCTTAATTTTAATTAAACATAAATAATAAATTCTTTAATCGAGTACAATAGAGGAATATAAACTATATTAAAACTAATTATTTATATTATTATCTTTACATAAAAAATATTTCTATAGTAAAAAACAATTTTAAAAAGACTTTATGTGATATTTTATAAAAAAAAAAAAAAAAAAAAAAAATTATACCTCTAAACATAAAACGTATATGACTTTGTTAAATAAAAGCTTTAATTTGACTACGCAATATAGGTGAGAAATTATTCTCATTTCCATATCGAATCAACAAAAAAAACCTCAAAATCCTTCCAATGCTGGCCTTCGGATTATCTACTATTGTATATTTTTTATATTTGTATATTATAATAGTTAAGGTCAACTATAAGTTTTCATAAAATGGATTTCCTAAATTCTGTGCATTATTAAAAATTCCAAGATAAATAATAATAATAATAATAAACAAACAATATAACAAACAAACAACAACAACAACAACAACAACAACAACAATACAATATAAACGATATAATTGTAGAAAAAATTATTAGCTTTATTTTGTACAATCTGCAAAAATCCACTAGTTAAAAAATAATCTTTTGAAACAATATAATTTTAAATATACATGTTTAAATAAAATAATAATACAGTCATTTTCTATGTATTATAATACATGGTTAACGCATGAAACTGCACAGCTTTTCAGTCGACATTGGGTTTGCAACGACTAATTATCACACGCGCACATTAGTCTCTTACAAAATTGACGTGTTGAACCTTGGTGTTGAGTAAGCATATTCAATGATATAATCATAGTTCAAAAATCACAAAATTTTATTAACTGTTAGACATTAGACGGGACGCTCACAGAAATTTTTATTTAAATTTCAATATCAATGTTTATTCATAACTATCGATTGAAAAATAGAATAAAATGTCTATGAATCTCTAAAAATGAAGATCAAATTACTCATTGTCGTGGTAAAAAGAAGTTTAAAAAAGAAATTTTTTACTCGAAAGTTTATAGCCTATTGTTTAAAAATCAATATATAATTATTAATATACGTAATTTTTAAGTAAATAAATGCTTTAAATAAGAGTTTAAATAAATAAAAGAAGTAAATGTGAGAAGAGGGCCTTTAAAGTGTTTTTTTTTTTTTGTTTTGTTTGTTTATCTTAAATATGAATATTGAATATTTTCTTAATAGATGCTTAGCATATTACAAAGTTAATATAATTCTTTGAAATTCTTCATTTTTTCAGAATCATTTACGGAATCAAATTCCAAGAAAAATGTTATTAGGAAATAATTATTTTTCTTCGATATAAACAAATTGATAAAATTATTGCGATGTTTTTCTTATAACAAAACAAAACAAAAACAGATTTAACAAATAAAAATTGTTGTTCAATACAGAATTCTATTAGTATTTACGTGGTTGCACAAAACCTAACCAATTATTTTTAGAATAATGTTTCGTATGAAATCGTGATAAATTTTGTATTATTTCCAAAATATTACTTTGCAATAGTATTAAAAATCTTAAAATATAACGAAAAAGGTATATATTAAATGTACATCAATGATAATAATGAAATAAAATAACAAACTCTCATTAGAAATTAAATCAAGTCAGAAACTAAACTCTCAAATTATTTGTCACTTGAACGGCACGGCTCTTTAATAAAATTAAATAAAATTAAATAATAAAAAAAAAAAAAAAAAAAAAAAAAAAAAAAAAGTTATAAAGTGGCCTATTGTTCGCTAATGCATTCGTAAAGCAGACATACTTTTCCATATTTTGTATGCGTCATTTCTAAAATACACTTTACTCGGCGTTATTTACGTATACTCTAAAAATTTACTCCAAAATTTTGGACATTGCAATATCTTTCACTTTTTCACTACTATAAAAATATATTTCTAAATAACGCATAAGAAATGTACAACAACTGCTACAGTGTAAACATGTTATAAAAACATACACGCAATAGTTTAACTATTTACGAATCTTCTCCTAATTACATAAAATCGCACAATGCGTATCTTCCTACGAGCCTGTAATGAACGAAAGCGCACATTCACTCCATTTTATAGGAGCAAAGACACTTACCAGTTTTTTTTTTTTTTTTTTTTTTTTTTTTTTTTTATTATCGTAACAGTTATTTCTTTAAGAATGATTTTTCGAACTGCACGGCGAATTAAAGAGCTGCTTATTTGATATTAAAACTAGAACGAATAACCGTTTAAAAACATATAATACATAATGAAAATTATAAATCAATCGTCTGTCTTAGAATGAATTTCTGATTTTACATCTTCAATATGCCATCGATAAAAACTTTCATTTAAATTGCACTTCAAATGCATGTTGCCTTCTCAAAATAACTAATGCTACATTGTTTTTCGTAAAATGCAAATTTACGTTACAATTAATGATTAGCTGTAAATTCCTTTTCTTTTTTTCTTTTTTCTTTTGTGTTATCTCCGCTTTGGTTTTACCACTACTAAATTAAGCAATCTTTGTCCCTTCAAATTATTGAATTCACACTTGTAATTAGAGTTCTCATCCTCGTTTATAAGAGACTCGTTTATATTTTCAATGTATCCGCTCTTATGCTTAAGTCCGAAAGGGAACGCACGACGACTAAGGTCCCGATCGATCATCATCATCGGCCTTAATCAATATCAACACTACCGCCGTTTATTTCTTTTAAAGTCAGTCGGGTTTGATGAGGGCATTGATAGATTCACCCTCGGGCTCCTCGTCGTATTCACCGGACGCCTCGGAGTCCAGAGCATCTGCAACAAGAGTCAACGAAATCATCCATTAGGCAAGTCAAACACTGTAATGCGCATCAGAAACTTCGAGTCGGAGATGAAAATTGTAAGTCGAAACTTTTCCAAAAGACGTGAAAGAGAAGATTCTTTATCTACGCATACATTTTCATAGATACCAATCCTTTAGTACCACACATCTTGGAAGAAAATGAACGTGTTCATTGACGTATTCAATAAGGATTTACCGTGAGTTGCCTTTGGTGTTTTCTTTTTCGTTTTTTTTTTTTTTTTTTTTTTTTTTTTTTTTTTTATTTTGTTTCTTGAATTATCGTAAGCAACTATAAGTTATTAATTAGTGTTTATAATTACATGAACTCGAAGCATTATATTTTTGGCAATAAGTTTCTATGCGCACACGACGCGTGTACTTTTATAAAAAAATTTTAATTTTTTTTTATTTTTATATACTTTTATCAACTTTTCGAGGAAATAAAATCGGTCTTCGCTTTAATAATTACTTTATAAATTAATTTCAATTACATTTTCATAAGAATATTAAATTTTGACATTTGACCAAGTTTTGTGATTTTCACTTTTAGCACATTAAATTATATTAAAGTACATAAGTAATTTATTTTATTATTTTATCTACAAATGTAAATGTACTAACCTGAACATAATTGTAACATTCGCATGTATTTTTCATCAGATTTTCAATCGTTTCCCAAATAATTTGTATAAAAATATATATATGCGTATAAAATAAATGACTCGTAGTTAAATCGACTATTCTACGATTTAGATTTAGCAGTATTTTCTAATGCAATGATATATTCAGCGAGTTTATTAATATTTAATCGATGTCCAATAGTTCTCAATTAGATAATGTAATTAGAGAGTCCAAATTTTATTGATTTTTATCAAAACTATAATCCATCATATAATAATGTTTTTAAAATAGAATCGATCTTTTTAATGAAATATTATTAATTTCTAATATAGTTGAGCATCTTAAACAGCATCGGAAGAACAAGAAACTTCGAATAAAAATCTTAAGTACGGAGAATTTTAGTTTTGGATTTCGCACGGAACGTTGTTCATTTCGTCTTCACGTAATAAATACTTTTTTTTTTAGCATAAAATGAAGTGAATTAAGCGACGAGTCTTTGCCACAATATCGTATCTACGATACAATGATCAAATAAAATTCAACATTGAACAGAGAAGTAGTTCTCACCATAATAAACTCACGATACAAATATACGAGATACGTCAAGATTGCATTGCATTAGCAGACATCGGAATTAAAATTTTACCATCGCTATATAAAAAAAAAAAAAAAAAAAAAAAAAAAAAAAAAAAAAAAAAAAAAAAAAAAAAAAAAACCTTTCATCTGCAATAAAAAGCTCCCCATCCTCCTTTTTTCGTAAAAAGAACCTGCATGAAATCAGTATTTGTAGAGAAATATTATAATCTTATAGACGTCTAACCTTTTCCAGGGTCACAATCATGGAATTGATGCATTAATTAATAATTCTAAATACATGCCAAGTTGAATCTGTCGTTGTTACCTCCATCCAAAAGCCGTGCAATGCACACCGCACACATATTGTACAAGAATTCTGCTCAATGTTAATATTAATCGCATGCATAATAAAAATTAATTAATTTAAAAATGCCTTATTTGTTAGTAGGCAATTTTGTGAATTTACTTATTATTTTAATGCTTATATAATTATTTACAATAAGAACTTACTACAGCAATCCTAACGTAATGATGAAAATATTTTAATTAAAAACATTTCTTCGAAATAATTCAAGCAATATGTTTACACTGTATAACTTATTGTTGATCTATTGGCATTTTATAAATATTTATGAATATACACATGCATAGTTATTTAAGAACTTCACATTCAGTTTACAATATTTAAAAAGTAATAGCAAGATTTATCGATGAAGTGACTTTCAAAAATTTAATTTTCCATGACGTTTTTTATTTGTTTTTATTTGTTTCATTGACAACTACTCTCTATTCTCAATATAATTCTTAATAAAATGTATCAATATTTTGTATATTTTTTTATTACAAGTGCTTTCTCCACACCCGTTATAAGAAATTAAAATGCAGTTGTACTTAACTTTTTTTTTTTTTTTTTTTTTTGTTTGCTCATCATTGTTATAATATTAATATGTTCTGTTAAATAAATAAGGGGATAGACATTGATCGAATAAACATAAAATGATTAAAATAAATTTTATTTGTAGAACAAAGTATTTGATGTGAATTAGCAAATGAATAAATATTTGAATTTACGATATTTTTCAATATGATACGACTTCTAATCTTAATCAATATATTCATGAAAAATTGCTTAATTTCGGCATTTGAATTTCGAAATTTTTAATCATGAAAAATAGCCAATAAATAAATGTATATTTCACTAATAAGTTAATACTCATAACCATTTCGCTTAATATGAGATGATGTTATTATGATTGTGAATATTAAGGAAAAATGTAATAAAATTGTTAAAATGCACATACTCGTTAGTCGTTGATATCGAATAAGTAAAAATGATATGAAGCAATTTAAAAACATAGATTATCATTATAAATTATAAAATTGAAAATAATGCATACTTACTAATAAAATTTGCATGTAATGAAGTTTCATATATAAAAAAAAAAAATGTATATATATACATAACAATTAAAAATATCAGTGTATAATCAGTTTATTTTTATACGTTGTTTCAATGCAAATCAATTACAAACGTTATATATTAAAACTTAAATTAAATAAACTAAATATATAATTATATTGTAGTTGACTAATTTTTTATCCAAATTTTTATAAAGTTAGTATTGATTTTTAATGGAAATAATGATAACCGTTAAATCATTACATATTTATATTGCACATTATAATACAAAATAATTAAAAATGATATTTAACTAACCATTATTTTTTTAAAACTTAAAATACAATTATTTTCTATGTTACCCAATATCTACTTTCAATGTTCAAGTTGGCATAATGTAACATGTAATTGTTTTACAATTAGAAATCTCACATTATCTTACAAGTTATTACACTATGAATATTCATAGCTCAACTACTGAATCTATTACATTTATGTATGATTTTTTATTCGAATATCACATTAGAGCTTTATTGTACAGCCTTTACGTCTTCTCCATATAAATGTTAAAAAAAAAAAAAAAAAAAAAAAAAAAAAAAAAAAATTTGTGAATTTACGAAATGAGTTTGCATTCTTTTAACAATAAAGAATATAACACTTCTATTGAATATGAATTTTTATTTAGTTTCATTGATAATATATTTTAAATAAGAGTACGTGATTTGTTAATAAGAAAAGTCATTGGCTTTATGTTTGTTAAATTTGGATTCATTAGTGTTTAAATTAGCGAAAAGTATGAATGCTTCTTTAATCTTCCCAATAAAACATTTACAAGTCCTTTGGATAGAATATTTTTAGTTTGGATACTTTGGATATAGAGTATCTTCAAGCAGTTAATATTACGAATAATATTTAAAATTAAAGAAAATTTCATGAGCTTGATTTTGATTTTGAGTTTGATTATTGGCATTTAATTTTATCGATAAATTGTTTAATGCCACGTAAGGCAATTATTTATTTGCTTTTAAAATATCCGAGAACTTATTAATTTTAAATGTACTCTTAAAAATTTTCACATTTTCTTCCTAACAAAAATTACAAAAAACAGTGATGAATCGTAAAAAATTAAATTGATTACACAGCTGAAATATGGTGAAATTAAATGAAAATGTGTGAAAGAAAATTAGGTACCATATATACACAGCATACTATTCGGGTGATTCCCTGCTGATGATCTATAAACGCGTCGATTCTGCTTGCCCTTTTTTCTTAATATCTAGAAACATGTCTGCAAGAAATACGGTTTTTTCTTTGTTACACGTGATTGTTTTATCATACAATTTTTAGGCGCAATCGAAACGCGCCATCGTATCTTTCTTTATATACGTGTATGAATCTTGCATCGCTTATTTTCTATACCAGATTAGTGAAAAAGCTGAATATTGACTATTGTAATAAAGACAGAAATATTATGCAAGTGATAAATGAGACTATTATTACATTTAATGTGTGACTATCAAATGATGTAAAATATCATAATAAAAAGGATTGCAAATTATAATGTACATATTCTAATAGAAAAATCAATCAAAATATTTAAGCATTTAATAAAATCCCATATTTCATGAAATACGTAGCAATATAATGTCCTTAATCATTTAATTTACTTGTTTACGTGCTTACAGGCTCTTAAATATTTTAAGATAAAGAATAAAAAAACATTAGGATTCCAAACAAAAATTATCGTTATTTTTATATTATTTTATTTATGAAATATGCGATTCTATATTCATTCGTGTTCTATGTGGAAAATATCTTTAAACAAAAAACAAAAAAAAAAATGTATTGCTTATTAACTACAAGGACTTAATGCACAACATAAGCAAAATAAGAACTTAAATATAACTTGAATTCTAAAAATTGTAATTATTAAGAAATAAAACACTTTTTATAAGAAAAGTTATAGTTTATAAAAACTAACAATATATTACATTTACAAATTAAAATAGATTAAAATGTGAACTCCAGTGTTTTTTTAATGTAAAAGAACAAAAAATTTTAATGTTTCAATAAAACGTTGAGCTTCTATTTTTAACGACGAATTAATTATATCACTGCTTAATACTGTTTTTTTTTTTTAATTATCAATTGGTATACATACTTGAGTATGAAAATGGGAGCTAATTATTTTACATCCATAGAGGAGTAATCACTTTTATTTCTTTTTTTTTTTTTTACTTTTCATCGTAACTTTATTGATCTCACAAATTCTGACCAATGCGGTAAACTATCAAAATTTCTTATTTTTTATGATTCAGCAAACCATTAATCAATGCTGCACAGTAGATATTTAATTAATTCAAGAAATCTTAACAAGGATATTAATAGAAAATTCCTTCTTACTTGAGATTGTAAATATTTAAGTAATTATTCTTGATATTTTTCATGCATTTAAAACATTAACAAGAAAGCTTACTGCAGTATTTAATATAGCATCATTAGCCGATAAATATTTATTTACGTTCTATTTACCAGACACCATTCGCGCATTAGATTCTCTTGTCTTAGACTTAACTTTAATTAAAAAAATACATGTATATTTATAGACAGTTCTCAGTACTGTTTGTATATTTTACATTAATCTACCTATTAAGGCATTTATATTAAAAAAACAAAACAAAACAAAAAAAAAACAAAAAAAAAAACAAAACAAAACGTTAACATTAATAATTAAATTTTATATAATTTAAAACCTTTAAAGATATTTACCTGAGATGGTGAGATCTACTAATGCCTTATCCTTTTCGATATACAAGGCAGTAAGGAAGAAAAATAAACTACCTAATACTTCTACAAAAATCGTAAGAAATAGAGCGTATTGTAAACTTCGAAAATCTACAATTAAATCGTCAGTCAATGGCAGTGCCATTTGTTCAGGTTCGATCCAACCTATTGTCAAATTTGGCAACAATACGAATTTTAAAGCATCTGAAATCTAAAAATATAGACAAACGTTACTGATTAATATATTAACTTACAAAATTACGTGAAATTAATGTTAGAAATAATTTCACATCAATTTCAATTACTAATTATAATTATTTTTTATCCAAATATTCAATTATCAATTATCAAAAATATAAAAATTATTTACATTCCTTGATAAAACAAGTGAAATTAGATTAGAGCATTAATTTGTTAAATTAAAAAAAAAGATATTATTAAAAAAGTATAGTGAGTAATATAGTTATATCGGATTTTATTAGAATTAAATTTATTTTTTCAAAAAAATCGTAATATCTTACAATTAACCGTATGAATGTAGTGCTTCAAAATAGTGTTAGTGTTAGTATTATTTATAATTTTTCGGATTACGAATACGAAAATTATAGAAATTTATGTAAGTTTAACAATAATAATCATGAAAATTAAAATAATATATTAGTTTTTTTTTTAATCGAATGCTCGATCTTATCGACATTTTATTTACCAATATTTTATTAAAACATTTCCTTTTAATATGAGGTTTTGTTCAAGATACGTTGATTGTGACATTATTAATATAAAGTAAAAGATACATTAAATAATTAATAATTTATGATAAATAAGATTAATACTCGATACACGTTTCTTGCACAAACATGATATCTCATTAATTTAAATTATAAATAAAGTGTTGACGTATCATACAAAATACAATAAATACATAATCTCTTGATACTTACTACGCCTATAAGATATGGACTGCCTGCATCACCAAAGGCGTGGGCGAATAATATTTGAAACGCCTCGGCGGTTGATCTTCTCGTTGGTATTACAACGTACTAAAAACATTATAAGAATTTTTAATTTTTTTTTTTATTACTATCATTAATAATGATATTAAATTAAACATTTTTCCAAAATATCGTCTACAAGCGAAAACAAAATTGTATACATTTAATACATAATATTGAATGGAATTTTAATAAAAGACATTGTCATGCCATTTAAAATCTTTGTATCTTTTCCAAACATATATATATATATATATATATGCTATACTATATTATAATACATACGCATACGTGTAGTCATATTTTTTTAAATTATTTGGAAAATTAAAGTACAAGATATGCAACATAATAAAAAAATATATGCTGATTACATAAAAGTGAGTTTGAAAACGATATGTAAATTTTATAAAATATTAATTTGTAATTTTTGTTAAAATAATTTTAAAAAATAGTTAAAATAATTTTAAAAAATATGAAAAATTCTAATATTTTTTTAGTAAGTCAATCGAGGACTTTTTTTCTTCTTTGTATTACATACCAATAACATATCAGCCACTATTGACCAATTTAGGTTAATGGCTAATTGACCAAAGAATATTAAAATATAACAAGCTGTAGCATTTGAACTAGCAAATATTGATCCAAAGAATATTAATGGGGCACTTATCAGAAGGCCAACAGCACAAATTAATGGGTCGGCTTGGTGCCATCGAACTCTTAATTTTTGTGCTATCATAGAACCTAAAGGCACTCCGATTAAGCCAGCAATCATTGCTATGACACCAAATTTATAAGCCACTCTAAAAAATATAAATTGTAATTTGAAACACGTACGTCATTCGTACGTATATCATTCTTCATAATTATATTATATAAACTTACTCGGCTATGCTAATAGCTTGTCCAGTATTTTGCAAAATAAATCCATATTGAATAAATTTCGGTCCCCAAAATGCAAGCGCACCACTAACAAAGGACACGCACGTAAACCCTACTGTACTTAGCATGAAACTCTGACTGTAACATTTTTATATTAAACAGCAATGTGAAATAACTCGATTAAATTTTCTCGTTAAAAAAATGTTAAAAAATTAAAAGAAAAATCAGCGGAGATATTACTTGAATCTTACTTTTTTAATAAAGCTTTAATGTCATCAGACCAGGCGGTAGTAGCCACATGGGATCCGCCTTCTTTTTCTCCTCGGACGGGATCTCGCACTAATGATAAAATAAGAATAATTGCTAAAATTCCCAATGATGGTGTTATCCTTAATCCCCACTGCCAAGAACCAGTAGCCGTTGCCATTTCACCTCCTGTTATATATCCTAAACCGCTGTAAAAAAAATTATTTATTAAACTTAATATCATTATAAGAATATTAATAGTAAAGACGTGTGTTGAAAAATTAAAATATACTTTACAGTTAAGTCGATGATTTTACAGCCTAGCATAGTAAGGTCGATTACTTTAAATTATGTCTTTTATAAACATATACTTCCGATAAAATGTATTTAAAAAAATTATTATTATTATTTAAAAATTTCGTTTAAGAATATTTTTTTCATTTAATACCGAGACTAATTTTCATTGTATTAAGTATTATACTTTGGATTGACTTTACCTGCCAACTGGTATTGCAAAATAAAATAGTGCCAGCATTTTTGAGCGCACATCTTTAATAAACAAATCGCTAATTATTGTGGGAGCAATTGTAGAATAACTAGCTTCTCCGATACCCACTAATGTTCGGAAGAATAGGAACCAACCATACGACTAAAATCCAATGTACAAACGTTAATTATTTCACATAATAATTATATAATCAAACTTCAAATTTCTTACTTTCATATACGATCCAATAAATGTAGTCAAACACCATAAAAACACTCCTGCGCTCATAATTATTTTTCTGTTATAACGATCTCCTAAATATCCAAATAACGGTGCAAATATCATGTAACTTATAATAAATGCCGTTTGAAGCAATCCAGACTGACCATTGTCGATATGAAAATCATTTTGTATTTCTGTTAGTACTCCTGAAATATAGAAATACATTCATTAAATTTCACGATTACCTTAATTCTCAGCTTACGATTAAAAATATCAAATATATAATTATATAAATTTTTTAAAGATTGCATTGTAACTAAAATTTAAAATACACATATTTTATACAATATGCTACAAACAGCCTCTATCAATTGTATTATTGTATGATACTTTTATATTTTCTAAGCATTAAGTATTAAGCACTAAGCACTAAGCATTAAGTAATAATTATTAAATATTTAAAATGTATATTCAACGTGCGACTGCCCGGTAACGATAATTTTCAAACAAGAAGTGACATCCTTAAATAATATTTAATGTTGCTCTTAAGAGGCATTACGTTGTTTCATACATCATTCGTACTTTATGACATTATTAACGTATAAGTGTTGTATGCATTGTTATAATATAACAGAAAACAGATTAAATACCGTTTCCTTTTACTTGAAAACTAAAGATTAATATCAACGATGAAAATACTTTATCTACAATTACGCTTTAAAAGCAAAATTTGACTATTCATTTCAATTACATAAACATCGATAAAACACTTAATTTAAATGTGTGAAATATGAAAATTCTCATCTTATTTTTTATTCAAATTATTATTTTATTAATGTTTAAATTATTTATACTACTGGTGTACAATGCGACTGTTATTGTTTCAAAGTTAGACGATTAATTAATAACGTCGATAACGATTTGTTGCTTTAAATTATTTGAAAATTCTGTCAAAAAATAGCTACACGGTTGTCAAATAATCTTAAATTTAACTGAATTACTAATCTATTTGTAAAATAAAACAAGTAGTTATTAATCATATTGTAGGCCCATTAAAATTTACTACTAAAATTTATATTCATCATTTTATGTGATATTCAATGTGTGTTTCCTAACGTTTTCATCGCTACATACATTTATACAATAATAATAAAAACTTGGCACAGCTTGGCAAATTCACTTATTTTCGCTAATTTGAATAATGGATTTTCATCTTTAATCGTTATTTCACATTGATCAATGCAATATGTGGCTCATATCTTGACACATATCATACACACGTCGCTATTACTTATGCCTCGCAAGCTCGTAGAATTTAAGTATTTAAATTAAGTTACAGAAAAAGCTCATCTATACAATGAAATACAAAGAGTATGGTATGTAACGCTAATCAAGCTCGACTTTAAGCTCTCGTTTAATAACAAAATATAAAAATACATTTATCACGATCCTGTTGCAACACTTGACGACGTTTTACCAAAGTCTTACGTTATTTAACAATTCATAATAATGTATAATTTTCCTATCCTTCGGCTCTCCGATCCGCCCCAAAAAAAGAAAAAAAAACAAACAAACAATCATAACGATGGAAAGATTTTATTTAGGTTTCTCGAAGAGCACCCCACCCGACAACATGTTAAGTAAATAAAACAAAATGCTCGAGCAGGACACGGCCAATTACAAATAAATGTCAATGCTTTGTTTTTTCTCCCCGGTCTCCTGAAAATTTCTCCAACGTCCTCGTCGCGACTTATTCACGCTAAACTCACCGCTTGACCGACCGCCGACAGCCGACCGCAAATGGCAATGTGTTTGCACGTTGGCGCATACCATCTAATCGAAACGCGCGAGCGAAAAAATGCGGTGCCAGCCGGGCACGAGGGGGGGAGCCTACGGTAAAAGTAAAATAGCTCATAATTAAGTATAGACGGGCGAGGGTGGTCGCGGGACGGGGAGAGGGGAGGGGCGGGGGACGGGGGCGTAGGGGGGGGGGCTTTAGGATGGCTGGGAGAGGCGAGATAGTGAAAAGGAGGATGAAAAGACGTGAGAATGGAGATAAAACGTGACACTCACCGGCAATGGTGAACCTGTCCATGTAATTGATGAGGTTGACGAAACAGAGGACGAAGACAGCGACCCATTCGCGGACGGTGACCGAACGCAGGCTCGCGCCGTTGCTGTTGCTGCTCTTGCGCACGGACCGCGACCCGACGACGACGGCCGAGGTCGCGGGTCCATGCCCATCGTTCACCATGAGAGTTCACCGCTCCGTGCGAGCGCCTTGGACGGCGATCCTCGTCTCACCTCGCGGTGGCACACCAACCACCTCACCGCCGCCACCACCACTACCACTACCACTACCACTACCACTACCACTACCACTACCACTACCACTGCCACTGCCACTACCACTACCACTACCACCACCTTCCTTCTCCTCGAACCCTTTCGCCTTCGCCCGCTCTCTCTCTCGCTCTCGCTCTCGCTCTCGCTCTCTCACCAGAGCCGCGACAATTTCCCTTGGCTGCCGCGGAGCGCTCTCAACAAGACCAGCCACGACAAAAACGAAATAAAAAAAAGAAACAAGCCGAAATGTCGCAAAGCGTTAATGAGGGCGGGGAGGGACGCAGGAGGGACGGAGCGAGCGGACGGCTTTACGCGACAGAGGGAGAGGTGGTGATGAAGGGGGCTGTTTAAGGCGAAACGACGATAAGGAGGACCGGGTAGTCGGGTGCGCTCCTCCCGTAATCGCGTGCACTTCTAGATCACTCGTTATAGGCAAGACCGCGACTCGCTGTTGCCGCCAATTGTTCCAGCTCGAGGATATCATCCGATTGGCCTGCCAAGGGCGCAAGTTCTGACCCGAGCTCCGCTGCCGACTCCTGAGTGTCGCTGCCGCTGTTGCAGCTTGAGTCGCCGCGCGCTGTGCATAGACGCGCGGCGCATGCGCAGCTCAATTATACCCCCACAGTCTCATGGTACCGCGTGGCGATAGTGGTAGTGGGGGTAGCGAAAGTTTGGCGCGTCACGGAGGGGCGGGAGGAGGAGAACGTGGCGGGTCGTGGCGGCGACGACGGTGGCCGTGGCGATAGCGGCATAGGAGAAGGAGGAGGAGGTTGGAGGAGGAATGTCGCCACGAATCACGCCATCGGCTCTCGACGAACCGTAGAACGAATCTCCGTGCGTGCCCTCGCCGCCTCCTTCGCGCTGTCCAGACACCGCTTCTAACGCTTCTTCCATCATCTAGTCTTGTTTCTCTTACTTGCCTCTCTACCGCCCCCTCCCCTGTGCACCGTCCATGATACTTGGTCGTTTTGCCACGCCGGGGGATGGGGCGGGGGGGGGGGGGGTG